AATTGGTATTTGTTCGTTCTTGTAGAAAGGATATTTCTCTTGGTCCAATACAGCCTCCGTGGTCGTAGCGTCATAGTTATCGCCATCCTCCGTCAATTCTTCCACGTAATCGAATTCTGGAACCTCGACTTCGACCCCATCCTTCTCTTTCTTACCCTCTTTGCCCCTCGTTTTCTCGTCTTGTTTGAAACGAGCGTTTATTTCTTCGTCCACGACATCTTGCACCACTTTTGGAGCTTCGTCCAGTAACTCTGCATGCTTCTTTAATTCGTGTTTTATTTTACTAGACGTTTCGTTCAACGATTCTTCATCCTTGGACATTCCGTCTAACGACTCTACACTCTCCAATGGTTGTTTGACTTTCGTCTCGTTAGATTCTCCTCCATCGAAGTTGAATCGAAGATTTCCCTTCAACGATTCCTCGATCTGAAAATTCTTCTTTCCTCTCATCAAATCGGTCACGTTTCCTTTCTTCCTTTCATCGTCGTACAACGCCATCGAATCACCTTCAACCCTTTCCACGCCCTCTCCCCCCGCACCGCTTTCTCTTTCCACGGCACGCGACCCTTCCCCACCGCCATGTCTCGATTTCTTCTCCGCGGACCGTTTTACTCGCGACTTATCCAGAGCAGGCCCCACTTCCAACCCAATCACTCTCCAATTTCTCTCGTTCCAACTATTTTTCCCTCCTCGTTCTACTTCACCCCGATTCGACACGCCGTCGCTCGCCATCGATCCGCCTTTCGCAAAGACACCACTTTCGTCACCCGCTTCTTCTGCGGATCTTCTTTCCCGCCTTTTTGCTTCCCGGATTCCATTCTCGCCCGACACCTCACGAAAGTGTCTCGCTTTCGTGTTTTTCGCGCGCCTTCTCGCGTAATCCGCCGATTCTTTGCGATTCCAGATCGGATCGTTTCGTAACGAGGCAACGATTCGTGCCAAATCGAACCCTGTCAACGAGTCTCGATTTTTTCGATTGGACGGGAATCGTTGAGGCGAATCGTCGTTTTGGATTTTCAGATTTTTGAAACTGGTAGGGCTCCTCCAGTCGATGTGTTTGGCGTTGATCCCGCGTTGATTTCGCGAGTCGAAGAAATCGTGGTAGCGATTTTTGGGTATTTTTGGGGGAAGAGGATTAATTCTTAATTCTTTTATCTTGCCGCTCGATGGAGAAAGAGGTTGTTTGTTTCGTTGCTGGTTCTTCATTTTATTCTCGTTTCTCACGTGCGTCAAAACCTTCATGTAATTCTCGTTCATTGAGGCGATTTTTGGCATCGTGGTATCGATCACTCGTTTGCCTACATTGTTTGATGATTTCTCGTTCGAAGATTCGGAATTAGATGTTTTAGATTCGTTCGGTTTGTGCCTGATCGTGATCTTGTAACGTGGCTTGCGATTGAGATTGAAAGAATTCAATGCTGGGTTGAAGAGAGAATCGTCGAAATCGTTCTTGTTAAGCTCCTCGGTGTTGTCCGGATTCGTTTGAGTATTGGAGAATAAAATTCCTTCCTGATCTAAAATAAGAGAGGCTTGTGTCGTAAATTGATCTTGGTTGGAATTGATCGATTGCCAAAGTTTGTTCACACTTGCACTATCTGAAGGCAACAATTGATCATCACGTCCATTAATATTGGAATATTCCGAATCGATCGAAGATGTTTGATCTTGGACAATTGGTGGTGCATTCAAAATTTCAGATTCGATCGTTGGAACAGACGTGGTGATTCCTTGATAAACGAAATGAGGTAAAAGATTTTCCACGTGTGCACGTAAAATATTTGGGCTCAATGTGGTTGATTCCAGAATCAATGGAAGTTCCGTCGTGGTTACTCGATTCTCCATCGCTTTGAAATAATTCCAGAAGAGTTGACTGTAACTGATAGTCGTTGGATTCTCCTGGATACCTTCCAAATTGATCGAATCAACAGAATCAGACGAGGAATTTCCATCAACCTCGTATCTATATGATTCCAAAGACTGTTCAGGCCTCCTCCTCCTACCTTTTTTATAATCATCACGTTTCCTAGATTCAGCCAAGTCTTCTCTCGCTCCTGCCTTCCCCAATTTACTTATCTCGATTCCCTTCTCCAACTCTTCAGCTTCTCTTTCTATATCCTCCTGCAATTTTTCCTTCCTCCTCAACGACAAACTTTGGATCACCTATCTTCGTGCCCGCCTCGTAACGATCACTGTTATCCTCTTTCTCGATTCCTTTTTCAGAAATCTTCCCGTGTTTTTCACTTTTCTTCGTGTTTCTTTTGCTCTCCGACTCGCTGACATCATCGTCGTCGTCGTCATTATCATCGTTCTCAGACTTCCTCTTAACATCCAACTGATCGTGCAGCTTTCTGGCGTACCCTTCTTCAAAATCGGCATCCCTGACGTGTCCAGCGTGATCGTAAGCGGAATCCTCGTACCCTTCCTCCGTGTAAACCGTGTTCACTTTCGTGTTTCTCACCACTTCCCTCAATCTTGCGGCGTTTGCCTTCTCCTCTTCGGATTCCGCATTCTCTATCGCCTTCTTTCGCGGCAGCTTTCTGTACGTGTCGATCTTCCTCACCTGGGCGTACACTTTTCTAGGTACAAATTCCAGATCGACCTTTTTATCGATCTTGGCCCAATCACCTGGAGCAACGTATCCAGGTTTCGTGGGGACGTTTCTAGATTCTTGGTGCTCCGAATGGAGGACGACGTGGTCGGGCGAAGCTTCAGGCTCTTCTTCTTCTTCCTCGGATGAAGAAGAAGAAGAAGAGGAATCTTGTGATTCGTCATCCGATGGATTTTCAAGCCTGTTATGCACGACGGTCTCGGACGATTGAAGCGGATCTTTGTGAGGAACAGTGGTAGTCGATTGTACGATGACCGATTCATCTTTGGGGACGCCGGTTTGTTGCGGTTTCCCCTCGTTTCTCGAACCCCGATCGGAATTGTAAGCATCCAACTGAACCGATTTCCCTTGAGAGACGAAAACCGACACCAGCAACAATATTAACAGCGTTTGATTCATCTCAAGTTATTGCGAGCTTCCCATTGCACGTATCAATTGTCTCGAATATTCGAAAAGCATCGCTTCGCGCTTCTGTCACATCACCAGAGAACGAACGAACGAATCTTTCTTTTCTTCGAATATTTCACCACCGTCGATTCGCGAGAAATATTTTTGAAAGGAATTAAAGATGATTAACGAAGGATCGATGCATATTTCTTAAACGGAAAAATTGCACAGAGATGAATTGTTATCGAATTTGAAAGAATGCGCGAAAGGTGTTTGGAATCGGTTCATCGATAAATTTCCAATAATTTTCGATCGAGGTATCTTGCGTCGAACTGCACTCGGCACGGTCCACCTGGTCTAATTTATATTTTCCAGCGGAACGGAAAGGCAGAAGTAGGGTTTGAAGCGTCACGTTGTTCACGGGACCGTGCAGTGGCGAGCATAGAACGATTCTGTCACTCTCGATTGAGCCCCTTGAGATAGATCGTTTCACTGGGAAAGGAAAAAATAAAGAAATTCTGATGGATCGCGCGGGATATCGTATGGACACTTTTTTTTTTTTTCCACTGAGCCACTTTCTGCGGATTTTCGTCTGGAATTGGATCGCACGACACGCTTTATTTCACGCTTTTCTGTGCACTTTCGACGACGAATGTGACAAGTACGATAGAGAATATTAATTGGAAACAATCTTGTCTTCTGTTTTAATTAACAATTCTTTGCCACAGTTTGATAAGTGATTGATAAAGAGTTAGAAGTTATTCATTTTCCTGATGATTTGAATATATATATTCGATGAAAAGATCAAATAATTAGAGAAATAGAATTCTTGAATGGATTATTCTCAATGATCATTATATCCGATTCTCTAACTCGATGCAAACGCTAATCTCTTCCGAGATTATTATTGAATATTTATTAAGGACGCGTGGCCTCGAAACCAGTGGAAAAGAACGAAGTTTCTTTAATATCGCACAATTTCCTCTGTGAATTGTTGAATATTTAAAAATATATTCGAAAGAAGAAAAAAAAGGAACATGGAATCTTAGAAACAATGGATCAAAGTTTGAAGTTCCATTGTTGTTAGCTTCGTTTTTTTTTTTTTTTTTTTTAGTTAATCCAACGGCTCTCGATAACGTTCCATCCGGAGGCAGCGAAGCGGAGAAAAGTGTGGCTCGCGGGAGACACGGTTCGCGGATCGACGCGGAAAGGCCTGGTGCAATTGCCTCCGCAGAAGCTTGGCAAGCGAAACAAACGATTTACAGACGAGCGAGCTAAGCGAAACGTGCTCTTGAATTGTGGCTAGATTCCCCCGAGAAGGTGCGTTAACATCATCGTGATTCGTTCGAATCAAGTTTTACATTTCTGTAATATTTTACGTGCCACGAAAATCTCAAGAAATTGGAAATAATTTGGAATATTGCGCGCACGTTTTAAAGCATCGCAAATAGAATTTAATTTGGACGGGAAGGAATGGTTATTTAAACGAGTTTAAACTGTTGTGTAAGGCGATTGTGGAGATTGTGGGGCAAAAAGTAGGTGGTGGTGTTTAAGTAACAGGGATAAATCTTGTTTCCTTGGTGGAGGATAATGCAATAATTTTAACAACGAAAAAAGAAAAAGAAAATTGAATTATTTATTTGATCGTTCACGGGATTAACGATTAACATTTTATAACAAACGATCGTTTATATAATTATAAATAATAAGAAGTGGAGAGTAATAAATACGATAAAAATTCGAGCGACGTTACTTAACAGCAATGCGTTCTCAATTGCACCTGCCCAACATTCTACGTAATATACTTATACTTAAACATCCACTACCGTTATAATTATAATACAATGAAACGTAATTTCAACATATGAGAGCATAAGATATTTTTATATTTTTATAAATCTCAAATCTCCATCACGCGCATATAATATAATACTAGGCGTCAAAATGATTAACAGTGTGCCGGACCAGTTGTTAATTTAATTACAATCGAATTTACAATTTTTCCTTTATTTCTATTTACCGAGGGAATGATTTAAAAACGATCCGGCATTTTCCAGTCGTACTCAAGATGAAAAGACACTGTTACATTTGTGAAACGAGTCGTTTAGTAAGGAATAAATGTAACATCAACTACGAAGCTACGAAGTATATAATATCCTTTCGCTTCTGCTTGGTCGAGAAGAATGAAAAGATCAGGTACTCGGAAAAATGGGGAACGGCGTTCAGGATGCAATCATCGGTTTCCACGAATTCGAATCGTTTTGTTCCGACATCGACGTGGTCTCAGACGACTGCAACTGCATCGCCTCCGGTCTGAAAAAATCGATAATCGGATGGTAATTGTAATTGACGCGCCTCTGCGGCTCCTGGTACTCGTCGTCGAAACCGCCATTTTGTAGCCTCGACGTGGCGTCCATTTCCAAATCGTACGGTTGACTGTATCTACGCATGTTCACGATTTCTTATTTTCTTTTTTTTTTTTTTAAACAACCTTTCCTTTCTAACAACTTGCCTGACAATTTATTACAAAATTACCTGCTCAAAATTGTGCTATTCGCTGTATGATCTTCGACGTGAGACTCTCTTCTGTAAGGTGGCCTATTGGGGGCGCCCCTTTGGTTTGGCCTCGATTTCAATAAAGGCCCGGTGTATCCCGGTGCTCTGGTGTTCGGCGCGTGCTGTTGGGGCAATTTATCGAACGGCCTTGAACTCGTAGAAGTCGAAGGCTTCTTGTTCTGCCTTGCTCTTACGGGAAGCGTGAACGACGTCGGTCGACCGGGCGCGGTCTCTATCGCGGGCTTCTTGCTATTCGAAACTAAAACAAAATTGTAGATGCACGTTTTTGAAGAGGAAGAGAATCAATTTTTTTCGTTCAATCGTACCCGAATCGAAATTGGTGGAAAACTTGTTGAAATAATTCAACTTGGACGAGGACGATTCCTCGAAATCGTCTTTCTGCTCGCTGGTGATGAAATCGGAGCCGGGGAAGGATTCCTTGATCCTCGAGGGTGGATCCTTTTGATGAGGAGGGAAAATTTCCGCGTAACCGTGCACGTGACAATTGCAGCAAGTCGGCACCTTGAAAATGTCCATGTGCAGGCCCAACTTGTTGTCCCACGTCAGAAGCCTGTGGTAATTGTACACTTGGGCGCAGGAAGAGCGATAATTCTCGGATATGAAAGCGCAGCTCGCTTGTGGATTCCTGAAAATGGAAAATGGATGAAATTTCTTTCTTTTTTTTTCTTAATATTAAATAAATACGAATATTTCTGATACGTGACGTAAATGACGTAGTGACGGTTCACGATCAATTCTACTTGCTTGAACTCGACAGAGAAGGTATTTTGTTTAACTTGAGTGGATGTTGAATTTCTAAAGTTAGATGCAGAAATCGATAAGTTTTGCGAGAAAGTCGGGCTCGATTCAAAATAAATCATCGGAACGAATAGTCGAGGTAAACGCTCGCTTCTTCAACTGATTCAAATAGGAAGTTTTTGCTTGTAACCGTGACTAAAGAGTTTAACTTGCAAGCAGATGAAATGTTATGCTAGATTATGGATTGATTTTTACGTAACATCTCGTCCAAATTAATCCAACTTACGAGCATTTCTCTAGTCGCAATGTTTGAGTATGCTCGCCAGTGTTTATTATGTATTTCCATACACCGGAAGCGGCTCTTGCCAATTGAGGACGCGCGTATTTGATGACCGATGGACACGTGAAACCCTCTTCCACATTTTCGAACGATGGATTCAAATCTGATCTCCTGAAAGGAAGATGAATTGGATATGATTGAATTGGAACAAGAGAAATACAATTTTATGTATATATAAAAAATAATTTAAGACATATGACAAGGCAAAATAATTCAGCTTACGTTCTATGTATTTAACGTATTCCCATTCTTTTCATAAACATTCATAATTCAACGTACTATCGAGTCTTACACCGCTGTCGACGCAGTTGCCATTCAACAAGAGGCACACTAATATATATATATATTTTACTAACGTGTAATTACGTACAGTCTTACCTTCTAATTTCGTTATTCTCGTACCGATTATCATATTTATTTTCCAGAGGCAATGGAACCGGAAGAGTCTCGGCAGACTCGTCGAAATCCTGAAACTTGTAGTCAGTCAACAAGGCGGCGACCATCTCCTTGTTGCTCCTCAAACTTCTCATGATGGCCTCGCTGAAAAAAATGATTTCGATCAAGACAAATTCGAACGAAATAAATATTTCTCTGATTGATCGATTCAGAGCCGACATTCGAACAACAATAGTCTGTCTCACGATTCGAACGTGGATCAAAACGTTCGTTACAAAAAGGAAGTAGCTTTTATAACCTCCTCCCTCATCTTCAAACCCGTAATTTCTTAATTAAATGGTGAAATGGTTTATGGGAAGAGGAAAGTCGATTGTGCAATTCGAACAATTCGAATTACAGGAAGGAGAGAGAGAGAGAGAGAGAGAGAGAGAGAGAGAGAGAGAGTCGTTCTTC